TGATCCAAAGACTGTAAACATTCCCATTAATTCTGCAGTGTCTGTCAGCTAATCTAAAACAACACTTCTCTTACTGTAGGAATTAAACTAGAAATTGGGAAGAGTAGTGAAGTCTAGGATCATTCCACCTGAGCGAGCCCTTGCTGCTGGGGCCTAAAAGAAATGTTAGTCCAACAATTAGTGCCCTTTCCAGCTTCCAAGGAATATTTCATTTTATGCTGAAAGAGAGAGGAAGATCATTTACAACCATGAAATTGCACCGCAGTGTGGAGTTGAGCATCAGTAGTTTAGGGAGATTTTATATCCGATATATTTTCTTTCAGTGAGGAAGAACAGTTTTTCATGTAATGTGAAACCCCTTCCCCACCCCCTTTTTTGGCTTGTCCTGGTTTTGGAAGCAGTACAGAGAAGACAGTATTTTCTAGAAAAAAAGGCCATGGAATTAACTTATTTGCTGCCTCTCCCCTCTTCCCTGCTTTAAAGTAAATACCATGGCAAATCAGAAGTTATATGTGGATTCCAGTATTTTTGAAAGTCCAAATGAAACTTGGTGGCATGCTAAACTTCAGAAGAGTTTAAGTCAGAGACAAACAAGATCTGAAAAATACAAGCCAGCACACCTGTGGACTTACTAGAGCACAGTGATCTGTCTGCTCTTGTCCTCTTCTTATCTTGAATTTAGCTTTACAAAGCTTAATTTACATGAACTGCATGGAAGCCAAAATACAAAGTGGTTTTTTTTAAGAATGCTAAATGGAAGAAAAAAAACTATTCAAGCAATGTTAAAGGCATAAAATTAAACATCACAAGAGCTTAAAGCTTAGTTTGTCATGGTTTTATAGAGAGTAGTGCAGGATTTGGGACAATGCTTTTCATACATTTTTGAATAGTAAGGCCCACGGAAAGAAGCTAGACTGAAATACTTTGTTCAGCTCCACCAAGTTAGTATTATTTCACATTGTGTGTTTGCTGCCTTTGTATTGATGCTAAGGTAAATAATTTTAGTAAGAATTCCAAATGTTTATTAACACTGTGTGCATATGCACTGACATCAGGCTGTAACTGGGGAGATGTCATTGTGTTTGTTAGTTACAGCATTTCCATGATGACTCTGTTCATCTAAAATGTCTTGAGAACGTGATATATCTATAATAAGTAAAGCTGCATTAGAAGTGCACAGACTGCAAAGGTTAGTTCTTGGCAAAGAAAAGAGGAAAGCTTGTTTTTGAGAAGTTAGTCCCCTAATCCTTGAAATGCTAATGCAGGTGTATTAGAATTTTTATTACTATTGCAACAGGACTTACACTGACATTTTAATAGCTCCAGAATTACGAATCAGTGAATCATTCCTGGTAAGAGGAAGGAATACAAAGCTGTCTGAACTTGTGGCATTGCCATGTAGTGAAACTAAACTGGCATTTTCCATGGATTTTTTTTTCTTTATTATAGCCATAACTTAAAGTTATATGCAAAATATTTCCATTGTAATATGCCAGGTAATAATACCAGAAGTCACAAAGCTTATCCTGGAAATTTCATTAGATTTAATATGTCCAAAAATTGAAGTATTTATAAATAACAAAATATTTATAAATAACAAAGTTCAATTCTGCTCATCACTTGAAAACCCTGCCTAATTTTTTGAGTACTTTGCAATATGAGCTCTTTTTAATAACAAAGAAAGCAAATTTAAATAAAAGTATTATTTCAAGAATATTCTAACACAATTTCACTGTAAGTCCCTGAGCAACTGAGTAGGATAAATCAAAACTAATAAATCTGAAGATCTAACTGAGGATATTTAGACTGTAATTTACCATTGGAATTAAAGCTTGATTTTATTAAGAATGCTGTGCATGTTGTATGTGATATTTCCAACCAGTTATCAGGTTGAGGCAAGCATTGCTAATACTGCTGACAAGTTATGCTATTAAAGATGGGCTGTGCTTCCTATTGCATGCATTACACTGACACTATACTTTCTTTCCTTTCCTTTTCTCCTGTGCCATGCTTGCTGTGTAGCAAATGGAATCTCTTGCAGTAAGTTGAAGTTCTTTCATATTCTTTGTCCATCTGTGGATGGACTAATACACTCCAATTTTACTGTTTTACTTCTAAGCATGTTTTCCTTTTTCGTTACAATTTTCCTGTAGAATATGTGGTTCTACATGCAATGACTAAAATAACATACTAAGGTGTGTTTTATGAAATCTAAAAATACTGTGCCAAAATCCTGATACCTTCATATGCTGTTTTAAATGGTCATTTACATAAATTTTTAAAAAAACAAACCTTTGAGTGGCTATAATATGTTGGATTGGAAGATGAAATTTGTTGTTATTTTAAAATTCATAATTTTCAATTTGTCCTAATGAAAAACTACAATTTATAGTTGACAGTTATGTTTCAAATTGGTTTTGTTTATATGTTGATGAATAGTTTCACCACTATTGGTTTCTAATACTTACTCAGGAAGAACAAAAATTCAGTTGCTTGATATGGTAACTAAATACTGAGTTTGTCTTCATTCAAGTTAGCAGCCAGAAGTGTGAAACTGAATTATTGTTCTCCAAGGACTAAAAAAAAATCATGTGTTAGATGCCCAGTTATCATGAGATTTTTAATTTTTTTATGTTATGCTGTGTCCTGGTTTTCAATTAATTTTTAACTCCCTGACAACTTCAAGTATATACGTGTTTAACTGCTACGTCGTCGTGTTGCCAGTTCTCCAACATTTGAATAGAGCGAATGTGATCCCTCCTGGAGAACCCCGGGCTGTGTCCGTGCTGGTGGCACTGAACAGGAGCAGGCAGCAAGCGGTGTCCCCAGCTGGCGTTAGGGCTGACGGGTTAGCACTTCCCTTGGCTGGGGCACCAGCCAGCCCCTCGCATGCCCGGGCATGGCTCGAGAGAAGACAGAAGCCAGAGCCGTTTCCAGGAGGTTATATCTAAACAGTGACTCTTTATTTTGGGAGGAGGATGGTTAGCCACACAAATGGAAGCTTGGCAGTGCTCTGTGGCCTCAGTTACAGGTTTATTGAACAGATAGGGTCCCTCATGCCCTACCTCTTAATTCCCTTGGCCTCCAGTAGGTTTTGTCCCTGCCTACAAGTCAGTTCTGTCCTAGCAGGTCGTATACCCATGCCCTCCATTTCTTCCCCACCACAGATCTGCTGGGCCTTCCTTCAGTTCCCGTGGGTCTTTGCTGTTGTATCAGGTCTGGTGGGATTCCATTGGGGGCTGGAACACTCTGACCCTGCTCACCAGTAACAAGCATTAAACATACTGACTCAGATACCAGGAAGAGTTTATCCATAACAGCACAGAGCTCGGCCCAGGCAAATTTACAGCGCTGAACTCTGCTGCTGTGGCAGACCCATGCTGAGGTGCGAGCAGCCCTGTCTGCCTGACCTTC